GTAAAAACCATCATGCGCAATCTGTAGGTGGGTCACATCAACTAGAACCTACTGGCGAAGTTAACACGCTCAGTAGAAACTCACCCTGTATAGATATATATGAATCTAAACAGATGGAGTTTTTGGCCTTTAGGGACCTCAAAATGAAAAATTAAATCGGTCTCGGGTCCAGGTCTTACCATGAGTACTACAGTAATAGCTTATTCCCTATGCGAAATTCGCTAAAAGTAGAAAATGATATATAAATAAAAATACTTTTTAATAATGTCATGTTTTTGAAAGCACTAAAAAGTAGAAAATAATTTATTAATATGTGGAGAGACTAAATACTTGTGAGATTTAAAACTTAAAACGTGGGGCGCATGCTTATTTAAAATATCTTCACGAAAATAATTGTAAATTGGCATGCGCCCCACGTTTTTCGTTTTAAATCTTACAAGTATTTAGTCTCTCCACATGTTTATAAATTATTTTCTACTAATATCTTCACAAAGATAATTGTAAATTGGCATGCGCCCCACGTTTTTCGTTTTAAATCTTACAAGTATTTAGTTTCTCCCCATATTTATAAATTATTTTCTACTTTTTAGTGCGATTAAAAAGGTGACATTTAAAAAAAGTATTTTTATTTATAAATTGTTGTACCTTAAACCACTACTGTAACTTATTATGATGTTAAGCTTCGTAGTCACTTTTCAATGATTTTTACACAAATATTGCAAGTAGGTACTTTCAGAATAAATAGCAAATGCTGGAGCTGGAATTACCGTACGCCAGACCAATAAATTTAATATCTCATGGGTGAAATAAAAATATTGGTAGTGAACTGTCTAAAAATATAAAACGCCCGTGGAAGGGGAGGCAGAAATATGTCAAAACCACAACCCTTCCTGCGACCCGCCACACAGACTTAGACGGCTGCTCTAACTTACTGACCTTGGACGTTAGTCAAGGGCATTAGGCTAACTGTATTTCAGAACTCACTAATGATGATGGGGGGGGGGGGGGTAGATCTTTGGTTTTAACTTTGATGTTGAACTGTAGGCAGTTTTGAGATATGAATTTGCCAAATTTTAATTTTTTTTATATCAAGAATGGTCAATTTTATGCCTCTCCAAAAGGCTCGTCCCACACCCCTCAGGCCGGCCCTACTAATAGTCCAGTCAATGAATGATCCAAAAGTAGGTGTAGAGTGCGTGAGCAGGTAACTAAGCGATTCCTTCAGAAACTTGTTCAGGGGGCTTAGGGTGTTAACATACCAAAAGTCCTGACTCCTAGGTGGTGAGCCAGGGGGTGGAGGCGGGAAAAAGGGGGGGGAAAAGGTACGCATTTAGGGTTTTTTGATTATATCTCGAAAACTATTAACTTTTTGTATACTATAGTAAATTATAAAATTGAAGAAGATTAAATTTTCTACAAGAAAAGTATATAATGTGTTTATTTTGGTTCAACAGATTACAAGTTATAACTTATTTAATTGATATCTTATTAAAATACTCCTTCCATAAGAAATACATGTAAATTAGTATGCGAAATGGGGCGAATCCTATCCGCCCAAAGGAAATATAACTGATATTCTGGAAATCTTGACAAAATTTCCAGTAATTTGACACTTTAATCATGAAATTTTGTCAAAAATTAAAGCGAGGGTGAGTGTTTAAAAATGGGATGATTTAAGGTTTTTTTTTATATTTCCAATAAAAAAACACCAAAACTCGACATTTTGTTACCTCGCCCTCGCCTTAATTTTGGATCAATTTTAATGATTAAAGTGTCAAATTACTGGAAATTTTGTCAAGATTTCCAGAATATCATTTATATTTCCATTGGGCGGATAGGATTCACCCCATTTCGCATACTAATTTACACGTATTTCTTATGGAAGAAGATTTTAATAAGATATCAATTAAATAAGTTATAACTCGTAATCTGTTGAACCAAAATAAACACATTATACACTTTTCTTGTAGAAAATTTAATCTTCTTTAATTTTATAATTTACTATAGTATACAAAAAGTTGATAGTTTTCGAGATATAATCAAAAAACCCAAAATGCGTACCTTTCTCCCCCCCCTTTTTCCCCCCTCCACCCCCTGGCTCACCACCTAGGAGTCAGGACTTTTGGTATGTTAACACCCTAAGCCCCCTGAACAAGTTTCTGAAGGAATCGCTTAGTTACCTGCTCACGCACTCTACACCTCATTCCTTGACTGGACTATAAGTATGGATTAACTTATGTAAGGTAAGGTTAGATTAGATTACTTAGATTAGGTTAAATTAATTTAGTTTTGATTATATTTAATTTGGTTTACTCAAAAATGGGTAATTTTTCGCACTTTGCCATTTTTATATTACCTACGATTTTCGGTAATTCTGAGCAATTACTTGTGGTCAACCCCAAACGTTTTCATATTTCACTACGGTCATAAGGTAGTTCTCAGAAAACAAGAAACATATAATTCAAGCCCCGCAAGGCTATCGTACAGGTTGCCGAGCGATAAGAAGGTTCAAAGTCCATGCGATAACAGTGGCTTGCGGGAGACGGCCGGGAGGCCAGTTTTGGCAGTACCGTTATGTTAGGTTAGGTTCGGTTAGGTTACAACGGGGAACCATCACAACAGAACACTGATCATGTTGCTGCTGACTCGGATGAGGACGTCGAACCTGGCGATTACTGAGGTAATTTCTATTTGTATATAGAATATTAACTTTCCGGTGCATAAATTATGTTTTTTTTTTAACATAAGTTAGGCCTACATCTCTGCATTAAGATCGTGGTAAAATATGAAAAAGTTTGGGGATGACCAAGTAATTGCTCAGAATTACCCGATTTTCAAACCGGGTTTTCTGGGTAAAAACGGCATTTGCCAAAAGAGTATTTGAAACGGACTAATAAGTTAAGTTAATAAGAAAAACACATTTTAACTTAGGATTTTAAAAAAATTCAAATTTTCTAGCCCCAATTTAACCCTGCACTACTCGCGCCATATCTCATAACATGGATACTCGCGCGGGTGACAGTTGTCCCCCATTTCGTTTTTGTATATATATATGTAAAAATATTTGTTTTATAGTAATATTATGTCTCAAAACCTATTAAGTGACTATTTGAGATTATTTATGAATAGTATTCATGTTTTTTTTCTGTCCAGTATAACTTAAAAATGTTAAATTTTAAAATACGGTATCATTCTTTTTTGACCAAAAATAATTTTACGGATTTTTACCCTTAACATTTGTAATTTTTTTTCAAGGTAACATAGAAAAAATAATTTTTATTTCAAAAAGTAGTTTAATAATGAACACAAACACAGATATTTCTTTGCCAAAATATGTTTTTTATTTTGTAAAAACTGAAATTACTGTAGATATAGCAGTTTCAAATGAAAGTGTGCATCTTTGTAAATCACATGGTATTGAAGGTATGCATAGTTACAAGTGTGTTGAAACATGTGCCGTTGATTCCTCTACTGACATATATCATTTAAAAATAAAAAGCATAAAAAAGCAAAATAAATAATAGAAAAAAATGTACGCAGAACTATATAAATGACAGGAGGTATTGTCTACTCCACAATGTCTGTCCACAATGTTCTTCAATGTCCAACACGTGGTTTTTTGCCTCTATCTGGTCCTCTTCATTGTCATTTTCAATTATATCTTTATCAGAACTATCTACCATCAACATGTCCAGAATTATGGGTCATCACACAATCGCGGGCGCTTCGGTACACTCATAACGGTTGCACTCGCGCGGGGGACACTTGTCACCCAGTCGACTATTGAGCGATATAACACGGGCCACCAACCGGTTCGACGCGCGAAAACACACATAGGAGGATCTATTGTTTATAACAGAAAGCTACTGAAGATCACACCTCTTTCCCCCATTCGGCGACCGAGCTGTGCCCTAAACAAAAGCGCTGGGTGACAACTATCACCCGCGCGAGTGTTGCAGGGTTAATTAAGTTATTGTTTTCTAGCGCTTTTCCCGATGTTCAATCGTGATTTTCGGGGTTAAATAACTTAGGCCTAACTTAAGTCACTTAGGCGTTTTCCCCAAAATTGTCAAAGATATGTAAAAAGTGCTTAAAATAGACTAATTTTGGTAAGTAGATAAGTAACGTAAAAAAATGCAATAGCATAGAACATAACTTAAGTAGTATAGGCTAGCCTAAGTTAAGTTCAGTATTACCCAAATGTATTAACTTATAAGCTGGAAGTTCACTTGCCCCGGGCGTACACTTGCCCCACTTGACCTTAACTTAAGACATTTAAATAATTTAGTTACCTAAGTTAAGTGCATCGTAATAATGGATTTTTTACAAAACTAATTTAATAACTACTTAAGGCCTATGCCTAAATAATTTTCTTACATCGGTTAATTTTAAAAGGCTATAAGTTAGGCCTTAATGAGTGAAAATGGCCATTGGCCTAGGCTAACTTTTTTTTAAACTGAGGATCAACCTAAGTAACAATCCAGTATTTGGTCTAGAATTTTTTGTAGAGCCATACACCTACCCTACGATTGATCCCTCAGGATCTGACACGTAAAAATCGGAAATGGCCACTTTAAGCAGAATAAAGAGTGAGCCTTGAACTAACTTGTGCAAATTGCATTATAGGTCTAATACCTTTCAAAGTTAATAAAAATAAATTAAGGACGCGGTAACAGCATAAAATCAAATAAAATAAACAAGATTAAATAACCGAGGTCGATAAAAATCGTACATAGCAATGTTCAGAACGAAATTTTTAAATATTAAACTTGACAAATCTGGACAAGGTATGCGTTCCTATAATGAAAATGGACGCCAAGCTAAGAAATTAATAGCCCTAGCTTGACTTAGTATTGATTATAGAACAGTACAAAGAAACAGAATAATATCAAGACAATTTCTGAAATAACTTTAAATACCAAATCACCAAAAGAAAATTTGCACGCATACCACAAAAATCATTCTATTTGCAAATAAATTTTAATAGGAAAATGAATTACCTGAAAATTCCGAAATGTACACAACAGGCGCCAGGAGTGGAGTATGCCACCGGTACGCATGCAGGCAACTTCACGGAAAAAATGTTGCTCACGTATGAAGAAAAAAATACTGCATAGGGCCTACATATAATAATACTGTGGGCTGGAATAGTTCTTTTTACAATTTCCACACAACAAAAAAGTGTTTAAATAGTTGTTTATTTATCCGTAGAAATTAAAGTAAACTTATCAAACCTTAAGAACCGTTTGGAAAAGAATCATTATGTAACATTACTATCTTTTTCCCCCCTTTCTTGTGCCTAACAGGCAAGACTTGGCATAACAGCCATGAACCTACTTGGGTAATGAAATATTTACTTATCTTGTTATTAATTTCTTCTGTGGTTGCCTGGGCTGGTTATCTTACTATAATATTATAAATCTGAAAGTTTGTGAGTTTGTGTGTATGTTTGTGTGTGTGTTGCTCAATCACGCATAAACTACTGGACGGATTGGGCTGAAATTTGGCATGATCATAGCTCACATTCCCGATTAACATTAAAGCATATTCTTATCTCAAAATTCCTTTCGGGCTCCGCCCCAGTGGCTCTGTAGTTCCCCATGTTAACCTTATGATTTTTCATATTTAAAAGGAATTAATGAATCTTAACAGCTGTTTCAACCACTGTTTCAACTAAACAAGTTGGTTCTGTTCTATGATGTTCAATAGCATCAAAGTTACAAGGATTACCAACAGGGTGCAGCACTATTATTTTTTTTATGACAACAGCTAATTAAGGTGAGTGAGCGTAGCGAACGAACTTCAACCTGGAGGCGAGTTAGCGTAGCGAACGAGCATACCTGAAGGCAAGTGAGCGCAGCGAACGAGCTCCAACCTAAAGGTGAGTGAGCGTAGTGAACGAACTTAAACCAGGACGTGAATGAGCCATGCGAATACTTATGAAGTTAAACGGGGCAAAGCCCGCGGGTACAGCTAGTTTTTTCATCTTTTAAACCTGAGAACATATATATATATATATATATATATATATATATATTATATTTATAAATATTTATCTTGTAACTTGCCACTCGTGTGTTATTGATTGTAAAAATGGTATGAATAAACAAATAAATAAACATATATTGGTTGTTAGTGACTTATTTATGTTAAGAGTAGTTTTAGTGTTTCTTTGTATGTTTTAGTGTTTCATGTAAAAGAGGGATTAAACATACTCCTATGTTTAATGGTTTAATCTATGATATAAATCTAAAGGATGGTTTTAACAGAATTAAGGGTTAGGGTGCATTTTGTGACATAATGGCCAAGTCACTGCCTGGATACATTTTGGGGGGAAAATACATAGGTACAATACAAATGTATTTTCCTTCCACCATGGTCTGGATATGCTCCTGATTTGATATTATTGTTGCTTTTGTTGTCTCGTCTTTTGACATTTCTTGGGCTACCGAGTACCGATAAAACCTTAGGCCCTGTACACATGAGGGTGGTAGCCGCCGCGGTTGCTATTGCGCGGGAACGCGGCGGTTGAAAGTACAAGAAGCAAATGGGACCGTTCACATGCGACCACCCACTTTCAATCAACCGCAACAAACCGCGGCGTTGGAATGTGCAGAATCCGCGGCGGTTGTAGATTTCCATTCGACTGCCGTTGATTCGCCGCGGTCGACTGCAGTTACTAGGATCAGCGACATCTGCGCGCTCGCCCTACGGATATCGCTCTCTGTGCGTTGGTGTAGTGTGTAGCTGTAGTTGTACTGTAGCTGTAGTCGGTGTGGTGTAAGTTTAAACACAGAGGATACGCGTCCGGTAACCAGACGTGGATTAGGCGTCCGGTAGGGGGTCCCGGAACGCCATTACCACAATGATACGATGTTTAGCCATCAAGTGTTCGTGGTGTAGTGGATAGAGTGCTCGACTGATATGCGAGAGGTCCCCGGTTCGAAACCCATCGGTAACCCATCGGTAAATTTTTGTCACAGATTTTGCTTTGAATGTAATTTCTTCTTAACTGTACATCTTTTGTTAGAATTTTTGGCATTTATAATTTTATGTAATGAAGAGAATTGAACCTTCATTTGATTTTTTTCACTATCAGCAAGTTTGGTTGGTTAGGTTAGGTTATGACAGTAACTGCCGGAGGCGCCCCTAGGCACGTGCCTAGTGTGCCTTATGGTAAATCCGCCACTGTGCCGGACGCCTAATCCAAGTCCGGTTACCGGACGCGTATCCTCTGCGAAGTTTAAATGGCCATACAAGCTGATGTGGAACCAGTCTTTGACACTGAACTGTTCATTGTATAAGTTCAAAAAAGACGATGCATTTGGGACATGTAAGGCTACGGCCACACGGGCGTTTTTTCACGCAAGAACGCAGCGTGAAAAAACGCGAGAATTATGGGCAGCATTAAATGTAATGAGGTATGCCACACGGAGTGTGTTTTCACGCAGATTAGGCGCGTCTTCAAAATCGACCGCCGCGGGCCCGCAGAAGAATGGACCGGGGTGCATTTTTGAAGCTTGTTTTCACGCTCTGTCCCTGGCCACACGGGCGGGAGCAACACGCAGCTTTGATCAAGTCGTTCTAGCAAGTTAAAATAAAGTGAAATGTATAAAATTTTTTCCAGGATAGCGTAAAATATTTTTGGGTCTAGCCAATTATACATTAGGATCTTAAACATAGGTCGACCTTACTGGGCCACTTAATAATTTCAATTTGTTATTAAAAGGAAAGGCATTTAGTTGGACTAAAAAATGTAAAGAGGCATTTATGTAGTAGAATATTCAAAGATCTAATGAAAATCTTGTCATAAAAATATTTATATTATATTTATTTTTTATACTAAATGTCAAAATAAAATAACTTTTGTGTTGTTTTCGTATCGAAATTAATATATTAAATTTATTTTTCATACTAAATGTAAATAATTAAATGAAAGGTTAACAAAATAAAATAATTTTAGAATTGTTTTCGTACCGAAATCAATATACCATTCATATTTCTTGTTCACTAGTCGGAAACAAGGTTATTATTCCGGCCATGAGGAAGATATATAACATAATTACGTGAATTCGTCAATCAACTGCGGGTTCCCACGGCTTTTTGCCGCTCCTGCCGCAACCTGCGTGAAAATAAGCTAAATTTTTCCGCGTGAAAAAAACGCACGTGTGGCATACAACAGCGGGAATTCAAGCAGCGTGAAAATAAGCTACATTTTACCGCGTGAAAAAACGCCCATGTGGCCGTAGCCTAATGCAACTACTATAAAATCGGGTTTTAACAAAGTTTGTGTGGCAAGTGTTTTAGTTGTACATTTTCTGAAAAGGACTGTGAAGTGGAATAAAAAAATAGGTAAATACTGCACTGGCTGTCGGTTGACGGTCAATTCACACCGCAACCGAGGCGTGAGCCGCGGTGGCAGCCGCCCTTAGTCACTAACAAGACTAAAAGATCGCGCCGCTCAGCCGAAACTCATCCTTCACTCATATTTGGGTTAAAATACGCACATAGTGGCGTCCCCGTCTTCAATAATTAATTGATATCATTGATTGATAATTGATACATTTGAATTTTTTACCTGAGTTCATAGTACGGTAGGCAGTTTTGGAAACGTATTCTCGTCACGCTGTAGCAAATTTTTAGATGTTTTGAAGAGACTGACTGAAGGAAAAGGACGCTACATGTCATTGCAAAAATAATCAAAAATGTAAAAAAAAAACATTTAACCAGGTCTTATATCTTGGTCAATTTAAGTCCTTCCTTGACAGGCGGTAAGTACGGGATTTTTAAAGATTCTTAACATTGATGGGGGAAACGGGTATTTGAGGAGTGGTACTACGTTTTGTGCTGTTCTGATTACATCTTGCACAAGATGGATTCAGTAGACTGGTCCACACTCGGACATCAACTCTCACTTGTTAGCTGCAAGAGCTGCCTCCTGCCTCTGGGTGTTGATCCACCTACCAAACCAAGTGAGGGGGGATCTCCAAGCCATTGGAGATCTCGCAACCTGGTTGGTGTAATGCACATCCCAGGAAGTAGACTAAGCCATGAGACCTGGCAGTCGAAGCGCTCCATGGCTGGGTCAGAGGCCAACATTTAAAAATTAATATGTAGTTAAATGACAATTACCTACATGTTCTGGACCTACATAAAGAGGGGATCAGAAGCTATAAAGGACCGAGTAACTGAACTGTTTCCATTTCAGAGATACCACAACACATCATGTTATATACCACAAGTTACAGCAATAGTGTACTACATAAATTTGTTTATTGCAGTTCGTCCTATTGTCCAAGTTTTTCTGATATAAACTATCAAATCTATTATGACTTTCTTTTTGGTAAAAAAATAAAAATGTGTTTCAGACTTAATTTACTTGTTCAACCCTAAGCACATTTTAAGCCGCCATATTGGACAGGGTGCTAAAACATTTTTAGACACATTGTTAAATTGGTCTCCCAAATACATTTAAAATGAGGGGTCACAAGATGGGGGTTGTCATTTGAAAATTTTTAGTTGCGTAAAGGAGATTTTTTCCCCCCTTACCCTGAGGGGATTTTTTCAAATAAATAAAAAAGTGCCTAATTTTGGCTCAGTCCCACAAGTGGATAAGTTCTATCTATTAATGGCAAAAAAGATCAAATTGTGTTCCAGACCCCACCCGTTTAACCCCAAGCACATTTAAAGCCGCCATCTTGGACAGGATGCAAAAAAAAAAAAAAATCAGTCACATCGTTAAATTTGTCTTCCAAATACCTTTAAAATGAGGGGTCACAAGATGGGGGTTGTCATTTGAAAAGTTTAGTTACCCCCCCACCCCCACCTTATCCTTAAGGGGAATTTTTTTCAAAATTATGAAAAAGTGCCAAACATTTGTTATTAATCAGTCCCGCAAATTGATTTCTTCTATCTACTATAGAAAAAAAGATGAATGTGTGCCAGACTTAATTTACACACTGTATACAGGGTGATGATATAAGCGTGCCAGCCGTTTTATTCGAAAACCATAAGAGATATCAAAAAAAGTTAAACGGTAAGTGCCTTGGACTTTGTATTT